GGGCTCCTGGCATCGCTACTAGGAACAAGGGCCTTACTACTAGGACCTTTTAGAAATCCCACAGAGTGGAAAGGGACTTCCAGAGTTCCCTTCATCCATTGACCCTCCTGGTCAGCACGCTCCCCAAACCGGCTCGAATTCTTCGGGCTCCCGACACATCATGACACCAAAAGGCCCTCCATTGAGAGCTTCTCCAGTTCCAGCGGTGGAAGATGGTGGAAGACCCTGTGTAACCTATGTCAGCCGCATACAAAACTATACTCCTGTGGCCAAAGACCGCTCGTGATGAAAGTCCGTTTGGTGGGTCCATATTAATATCATTCTCAATCCCTGCAACATCTTTTAAAACCAAGTTGCCACTGCTGGCAAATTCTTGATTGCCTCAGCTTCCTCTTCTCTACTGACAATCCTCAGTTTGAACGGAGCATTCGGGCAGCCATGGGTTATTCACGTATACAGTATACATTGTAGCGCCCCCCACCAGGTCTTCGCACCAAAATGATACTCAACTTTGCAAGTCATTATGCCACTTTGCAAGTCGATGGTTTGGTCTGCCAAGTAAGGTGGGTTTAGGTGGTCTGCAAGGAATTCCTCATCTCAATGGGTCCGCTCTACCATGTTCGGCCGTCACCCAATGCGCTGGCTTCCTACAAACCAGAGCCTGGTAGGAGTCACAAAATGCAGAACCTTGGGGACAAATGGCAAGAAGCTACTAGTAACAAGTGCATCGCTGCTAGTAGCAGAGTGCCGTTTGAGGCAAGCTTGATCGTGTTTAACAAACGCATCAATCAAAAGTCTGTTGACTGAGACCTACTGAGACCAGCATGCTCATGGCTCATGGAATCCCCAAGATATGGTCCAGTGGCACAAGATTATTGTATAACAATGACAATCTCATACAATATTCATGACGAACCGGCTTCCCATCATCATGAATCACCTCCTGCACCAAAGCTCTTGTGTTGTCGAAGGCTGGAAGGGATGGCAACCAAAGCTTCTAGCGTAATCTGCGGAAACAGCACCTGCGAAAGCTCAGCAAATTCACAGCGACGGTTTACCTTCAGAAGAAATGCTCAACGACAATGGGTTGAGGATGGTTGAGGTGAGAACAACAATCCGGTGGCGTCAACAAAACAATGAATCTTTTCACTGCAGTAGCTCAGTAGGTGCTCTAAATTCATCTTCTCACTGCCAAAGTAGTCCAAAAACCTGCAAACATGGCTGCTCAAATGGCTGTGTTGGATCAGCATGTTGCAAACATAACTCCTCACAAATTTTGGTGAATCACGGTGAATCGCGCCCCCTGCTGTGTACACATCCACACATCCATCTTCTCCCACCACCCTGCTGCGCCTGGAATTGGTCGCTGCTCATACCTTTCACAAATTCCACCCAGGTGACGTCTCCTCCCCGTGCGGCTCATGGCCAACGCTCCGTCTGGGAACGCTCCGTCCGTAGAAAAACGAGTGCAGTTTGGACTTGCTCTCAAACAAGAATAATAAGCATGCATGCTGTGCAGTGGTGTCTAGTTGTCCAGAGTTTGAGAATTTATTTTGGGCGGGTAGACCGGGTAGGCGAAGCAGGTGGAACCTAGCCAGGACAACGACTCTTGAGACGCAATCATAAACCAAAGTCTCCGGCTTCCAGGATGCATGACAGTCCCGATCAACAGTCTATGTTAGTTCGTGAACAAAACTGACTCTGAATCCATAAATCAACAAGCAGCTGCACGAGGGTCGGCCAGTCTTGGCTCCTGAATCATCATCATCTAAAAACGCCATCAAGTCTGCAGCCAGCTTCTTGTCAATGTCGAGGCTCTCCATCATCCACATGATCTAGCGTCAGCATGCGTCAGCTGAACCAGTCTGACCAATTTTCTTGCGGCCAGGCTCACAGCACCGTTCTATACATGCAGGGGGAGGGGATCTCTCTTTAGACGACCAAATTATCCAAATGCTGGACTGAGCTGAGCTGACCAAACCAAAGTAATCCCACAGCCTGAAATAGCTCAGACTTTTTTCCAGCTCTCTATTTGCACTGCATCTCTGAAGGACCTCCAAAGCCCCTGTGCTTCAAGGAGGCCACTCTAAAGAACACCACTCCGCCGACTGTGTCGCAAGGCGATCCGCCGACTCCGCCCACTGGGCCGCCGGCGACTCACCCCGGTTCGCGCGGAGGTCGGTCCCACCAAAGGTCGGCCTCGTTGAGGCTCAGCTTGGAGTTGCCATTCACGTCGATCTTTCGGAAGGCCTTCTGAAAAAGCACCACCTCAGAGCCGAGCTCAGAACTTGGAAGTGGAGAAGCTGGTGAACTGATGTGAATTGACCTGATTTCTGGCAACAGAATCAAAGGAGGCTTGTAAATCGTGCTACAAAAAATAAGAAGATAGTACAAAATGATACAAACAAGATCAAACAAGTATACACAAACAAGTTATGAAGTGATGCAATGTGATGCATAGTTATTCTCGATCGCCCTTCAACGAGCCAATCACCTGAGGTGTACGCACTTTCAGCAAACAAACGGTGACAAGAGGCTCGTCCCAGCATGGTTTCCAGCTCACCCTCCGATACATTCGTCATCATCAGAATGGCATCAGTGACGCGGGTGTGGGTGGTGGCCGAGACCTTGTCGAAGACGATCCTCAGCACGTTCTCGACATCTTGCCCTTTCAAGCCTTAGACGGCAGAACATCCAAGTGAAGCGATCTGGCGTGATCCGTAAGGTCGTCCGAATGTGGAGCCCAAGCGATTCCACGAGTGCCTAGGCCTAGGCATGCGTAGTAAGCCGGTGTGGTCCTCTTCAGTGCCAAGCAACCCATGGCTGCCAAAAGAGTTTCGACCTCTTCTTTGCCGAGGTCACCTTGGAGTCACCGCGTGCATTTTCACCCAGGTGACTGCAGGACCTACACGGCCACTGGAAAAGCCTGTGTGGTACACACAATGTCGTGGTACCTGGAGGTCCCTCTACCCCCTGAAAGAGAAAAGATTGACAAAGACTCTCCCTATTTCATTACCTCACTACAAGATACTACAAGTGTCCCCAATTCCACATGTAAAAACAAACAAAAGGAACGATCAATCAAAGATTGCTCCCCCCGCCCAGGCGGTTCCGCGGTGAATGAACCGGCAGCTCACCCGATTGGTCTTGGTCGATGATGTCCAGCGCCTGGAGGGTGAAGGGGACGAAGAGACAAGGCCATTGTTCTTCAGTAATTATTCATTCTTTTTTTTTGGGGGGGTAGGCCATAGAGGAGGCGAGGTAGTAGCTAGGGTAGCTAGTAGGTACAGGACGCTTCTAGGTAGGATGCAGGATGGTTCACGCTTCTTCGAGGAAACTTTCGCACTAATCGTTTGGTTCCTATTTTCTTTACGGAAACTTAACTATATATTATATGATATATTATGATCATATCAAATTCTATGTGTGGTGCATATCTTGTGGTTTTAGAGGAGACAACCAATTCTCCCAAGAGGCTGTGCAAAATGGACCCCGGTGCCATGTAAGCTGGTTGCTCAAACGTTACTGTACTGTAACAGTCTGTACGTTCTTATGGCTGGGCCATGTTCTTGAACCATAACTATTGGGAATCGTTTCACCTGTAGTAACAAGAGCTGCTAGGAAGCTACTAGTAGCTTCTTGTTACTAGTAGCGATGCCCGGGTTCCTAGTAGCGATGCCAGGAGCTACTAGTAGCGTCCTTGTTGGAAGTACGCCCAACTGTGAATGGAAGACGTTGAAATTGAATGAAGTACATTCATTTGCACGTTTTCACAGCCTTGAGTGCTGTGCACGTGTGCACCTCCTGGCTGGAATCGCCGGGCCTTGTGAGCCACTCCTAGTGAGAAGGCAGTAATGCTCGACGTGAATAATCCAAACATTTGCTAATTTGCCACTGAACAGGCAACCTTGCCATATAAGATATTCTCCTTGCTAGGCAAACAATCCCCTGATTGCTCTGGTGGAGCAAGCAAACACACCCACACACCAGTTTGCTTGAACTCCCTTATCCACTTGAGGCGAATCAGTTCAATGAAGAGCCCTCCAGCTAGAAACGCTGTCCAAAGAACCTGCAATTCTACAGAACACTCATCTGGACATACTCATCGGTTTTCACTCCGGAATCGCCCTAGGCCGCCTTAGGCCCTAATGGTCCCACCTTGGCACTCCGCCCAAGATCACCGCCCTCATCGCTCGCGCCTCCGTGACGAGGAAGCTCTTCCTCCGCGTAGTGCTGGCGCCCGTCGTCATCCCGACCGACCAACGGCCGTGGACGGCCGGACCGAGCAGGACGGGTGGTGCGTGGCTTGAGAAGTTGGGGAGTGCTGGCTGTGGCATGTTGTGGTTTGTGGGTGGTGGTGAGGTACTAGGTGAGGGATGGTGAGGGTGACAGGTCGGGGGGTTGCTATACTGCGAAGCAGGTCGAACGATGATCTACGTGATAACCTCTTTATGTCTGGCTAAAGAGTTTAGGGTAGTTTGGAGATGATTTTGCACTGAAAGGCAGTTGGATTAGACAAGGGCCGGGCTAGTGCGCCCTTGGCTGGATGAGGAGATAAGTGATTGGACTAGTTGTGCCTGCATGTCAGCTGCATGTCTTTTCCTGGTCTAGTCTATGAATTAAAGCTTGAGCCACCATGGCAGACATGATCGAAATTCCAGCAATAGCACTGCACAAAGCCATCGAGAAGACGATGAACATCGCAAATAACCTTCAATGGGCTTGTGAAGCGAAACACTGATCCGGCGACTGATGCGAATTCAGAAGCATATCCCGATGTTAGATGTTCATTCTTGCATTCGGCCGAATACCCACATGCCCGAGTTTCGAGCATGAAGCTGAAATTTCACAGGATGCAACACACATATCAGGACTGCCACAACCGATGAGTGATGGTGCACTTCCACAACTCCTGTTATGACACACCTGATATATAAAGAAGAGAGCCCCAAAAGAAACAAACAGCGCAGTGATGATAGTGATGAATAGGTTCTCCGGTGTCTTTTTTCACGCGGTGCTCCTTCACAGCATCGGGTACCTAGCTGGATAAGGAGCCAAAGATTAGGCCAGCTGAGGGGATTTCTGTCAGAGGCCTTCGACTGACACCTCCCCCGTGGCTAAACAGCTGCACGCTCGACCATGCCGCACGTACGACCGGCCGAATGCAGCAGTTTTTTTTTGGTTCGCCGATCAAGCCCTTGGTGGTCTTTGGGTCAACATGCTCATTTCCTCCAGTGACTATCCTTTTAAGCTGTTGATTTCCTGTGGGCTGATCTGCAAACCACCTAAAACTGCGCAAACTACAGTATAGTGGAAAATCTTTTGCCTTCAGCAATTGACATCTCGCCAAAGATAAAGAAGTCTTATCCTGCGCCGCGACCCTGCGTCGAACAAACAAGGCGGTGGGGTCAGGGCCAATGTGGCAAGGTCTGCAACATGGTGCCATCTCACTGGTTCAGGGCTAAATGCATGCTGCTTCAATATGTTATTGCTCAAGTCTTAACAAACCCTCACAGCTGAAGAGCTTTGGAGAGTTCTCGACAATTCAAACAGGAAGCAAAGCCAAACACCAAGCGGCAAAAGCACCCTAATCACGACATTGATTGACACATAAACTTGCCGGATTTGGTGTCTACACCATGGCCTGCGACACAAAAGGTTTGCAAGAATCACTTGTTTAAACATACAAGACCCTCAAGTCAAAGGAATAACTAGCCAAACAAAGCCAACAGCAAAGACCTACATCTCAGTAGCTAACGCACATCAAGCCCAGTGGCCCCAATCATCCAGCTTCCACAACAAACACCCGGCTCCCCCATCAACACCCCGAATGTTAACATGATAAAACAACAAATCCTCGTATGTCACGTTAATGTCATGTATTATGCAACAGAGGGATCAGTCAGACGAATCTAAACAGTCTCACAAACGGACCCAACATCCGGCAGCTCCCTGGTCGTGGCATGTCCGCTAAGCCGCTGGCCTCATCGCTTCTCGTAACCCAGCACGGTGCTGCCCAGCCACCGCTCCGTGTCCTGCACATGGAAGCCACGCGAGGTGGCTTCGTCAAGATGAGAACGAAGGTTGTTTCGAATCCTAGCACTTTCTGAAAGAAGCGGTCTGCTTCTAGTAAGGGGTCGTAGAAGTTAATGTTGTTTGGTATTCACAAGGCTGCATTTGTGTCGAGTCTCAAAATCAGAGAACCTCCAGATGTTTGTCTCTGCCGGTTTATCCCGAAATCAGTGAAGAACACGAAAGCTGAGACATAATGGATTCTGAGGACCATGGTTCAGTGTGTTAAGTTTCTTGGATGAAGATGTAAAAAATGAAACTTGTATGAACTTGTATTTGCTTCATGTGTTACTAGTAGGGATGCCCTTGCTACTAGTAGCGATGCACTTGCGTTATTTGCTGCATGTCTTCTTCCGCCCTCTGGCTCACACCACAAAAAATGCACAAACATTGCCAAATGAAAGCCTACCGGTGCCACTTGACTTCATTGCTCATGATGGCTCCTTTCCAAGATCACCGTTGCCATACGATCATGCTATACATGTTTGTGTGCCTTTAATGCTTATATCATCAGGAGGGCAGAGTCATCACGAATTGCTGCAAACGAGTAACGAGTAAGTAAGATTGAGTAAGGGTGTCCTCCACACCAGTCTCTCCCCTGCGTTCAGCATAGGACCTTGGCACATCAAGCCACGGGCCACCAAATCCAAATCCATCGTTCGCCAACCGCCGAAACGAAGGCTGCACTCCATCCAACACTTTCAATCAAGACTTGTTTCAGTTGACATGAAGGTGACCAAACTGCTGTCCTCACATCGCCTTTGCCAGAGAAAGCCACTCCATCATGGCACAGCCTCCCTGTATTGCCACGTGTGCGACGCATTATGCAGTCATCGACTGAGGCTGAGGTTTGCACTTAACCTGATCGGTGTTCACTTGCCCAACAGAGAAGTACTTCGCCTTCCCAACAGCTTGTCCGGAATCGAAGGCAAGGAAGGAGGATGGACCCAGGAGAGGTGGAGGACTGATGGACCTGGAAGCTAGCACGGAATTGAATCCGCAAGTCCTGCAGGATGAGTGTTTCGTTTCAAGCATAGGGTATCCCTCAAGCATGGATTGAAGTCTTTCACCTAATCATGCGCTCTGAGCAAGTTACCTTAGGTGACAAGGGAAACACACCGCACATGTTGCATTCAAATGCTCGCCGCTGGGTTGCTGAAGCTCTTGCGACATGATCTCCCATCTGAGATCTGAAACATGTCCTCAAATTTGGTATTGCATACACCATATAATGTACACCAATAGCAAGTGCTGCTGGTCTGACGGACTGAGTTTGCTATGAGACAACTAAAAGAGACAATGAGTTGAAGCACGTTTGGGTAAATGACAACAATTTCCAACAAGTTGGTGGGGATTAGATTAGGCAGTGCACAGCCAGCTTGCAAAGCAGGACATGTGCCCAACCATGCAGCTTCAACCTTGTGCAGTTGTTCAAACAGGAATCAATAAATGTCCTGGGAGGCGTGCTACGCGAGGCATGCTGGGTAGTCTCCTTTTTGAACATGTCTACGCAAATCCCCAGGCCCCTTCCCTTGTTTCCATCATACTCTCCCCTGCAATCAAGCACCTCTGGGTGAGCAAAGACCAACGCCGACACGGAGGCACTCGGCCTAAGAATGGAGAGTCCAGCACGACCAAAGCCGTTCTCTACAACACCACCGCCATTGGACGGTAGAGGCCTCTGACATCCTCTGACCGTCCATCCGTGAGCCCTCTCTCTACCATCACTATAGCACGTAGAAAAAAGTCTTCACCCAAAAAACGGAGCGACATGGCAAAGCATGTCCACGAACGATTGTGCGCTGGTACGCTGGTACGTTGGCACTTACCAGGGCTGCGGTCTCGCAATGAAAAAACGCGTCAAAAACACCTCCCCTCAAAGAGTGTTGCGTCAAAGCGATTCATCCTTGGGTCGCTCTCACATCATCATGTAGGACTCGGTGAGCTCAATCTTGTTGTCGGTCAGCCTCCAAGTCTTCAAGTGCGAAGGACATGGGACATAGAAAACCACAGGATTTGGATGCATATATTTGGCGAAAGAAAAAACACATTCCATCTTTGTCCCCTAGATATTCGCTTGTGAAAGTACACACTACACACCTTCCTCAGGCTATTCCTTAGGTCCATCTTCCTTTTGGAGGGTTCACAATTTACACCTTGCAAGGTTCAACAGCGAAAAACTCCAAAAACCACCGAAACCTGAACATGCATCGAACCCTGTTCCCGCCGGAGACTCCTGGCGTTTGTCCACCTTTGTTGCAGTAGCTCCGGTAGTCTTATAATATTGTACTGTTCACTGCATGTATATTATACTATCAGTTATACTATCATATGGACATCCTTCAAAGCGACTACAGCTTGTGGAGCTAAGTCCACAGAGCAGTTCCATGGGGGACGATGACGCCACACCCTTTGAAGACATTACACTACTCGCCTACAAATACTGCTGTTGCTCATCACAATAGTTAAGTGGGCAAGTTCTTGAGGCGGTTGTTTGTTCCTTCAAGTTTTCAGCTCGCTGTCGAGTCCACAGGAGCCTGTCGACCTCCAGCAAGTCCCACCTCGGTATCTTCATTGCACATCAGCTTGCCAGGCCGTTTTATCCAATGCTCTGCCCGGGATCCAAGATGCTCTTAGAGAGCTTCCTAGGCAAGTGGCGCCCTGTAGATCCCTTCCTCTTTACATCTAGTCAAGTCTCTTCCAGTGGCTCTGCCTAGAACAAAGCCTAGCAACGTCTCCTAGCCGTGTGTGGAAACTTGTCTCTGAAATAGGTGTCTGACTCCTACATGAGATCGCAACTTTTAAGGAGGCAGCGCATGGAAACACTGGAAACCACAAAGTCCAGCAAAAAGAAAACCAGGTGACACAAACACAGCCCGCCAAGGATCAACAGGATCGACCATGAGGATGTTTGTCAGCACCCCAATTTTGGCCCAACTGGTCTCTTACAATTAGGCTGGTTCCCGCCACCTGCTGGTCGCCCTGAGCATCTGGCAAGGTCTTCTTCTCACGGTGATCGGGCTGCGATGGGTATCCCGGAGCAGGCCGAATTCCCTGGTACTTCACCTTCAGCATGTCATCCAGGGACAATTTCTCATCAGGCCTTGGCACCAAGTTTCAGGCCAAGGGGTTTTCTTTTTCTTTTAAGCCCGCCGGGGGGGTAGGCCGAGAAGAGGTAGCTAGTAGAAGAGGTAGCTACTACCTTACTTAAGCTTCTAGTAACTGGACGCAGGATAGCGGCGGGGGGAGCTTCCTTGAAGAAGCGCTCGGCTCGCACTAATGATTTGGTTTCTAGATTTTAGGGAAACTTCTATAACTATAACTATGTTAGACCTCTCTTCCTCCCGAACTGGCAAGGTCCATCAGCTGTAGAACATGATCAATAAAGGTGGAACCAAGAAAAGTTAGTGTCCCGACCTTGCGGAGCTGAGAAGTTTGTGGGCAGTTGGATTCTCCAAGAGTTGAAGTTCCAGGTCAACTGATTTTCTAAATTAATACATCGGAAGACACCTTCCTGTGAGACAACCCTCGCCACATGTTGCTACACTTCGCAATGCAGCCATTCTGAACTCTGCCAATCTCTGCCATCAATCACGCCGCCAAGTGACGAAAAGCCCCAAAGGGTCTTTCCTTGGTTTGAAGTGGGCATGTGCTGTGCGTCTAGGTGGTGCTTAGTCTTCTTGGGGCTACTACCTACCTGTGGCCCTGTGCATCCTTCCGAAGAACGACGGGAGACACTGAGACCACTCACCAGGCCAAGCCATCTGTCCATCATGGAATCCATTTATTGAAGTCATATCGATCTCGTGATGGATGCTCGAGCCAGGAGAGCTGATAAACATGGAAAACCACCTGAACTTCGCGCACATGCAAGATATGCTGGATGTTGACCCTCAAACAACAGGATTCAGCTGCTTTGCTTCACTCATGGCAGGGCAACATCTCCACTGCTATCATACTATCACCCTCCAAACTCTCATTAAACTGTATATCTCCATATTTCCAAGCAAAACGCTGGGTCCTCGTATTCCGGTCCATCCGAAGGTGCCCCTCCGGTCAGGCCCATCACCAATCAGACGAGCGTCGGATCTTCAAGTGGATCAGCTCGGCGAAGGCCTCGGCCAGGCGGTCCGCCACAGCCTGGCCACAGTCTTCGGCACGAAACATGTGGTGGCCTCAAAAATCGCACATGAGGGTGGGTATGGTATGTCAATGTGCAGGTGGGCGATGGTGGAGGGACTGCAGCGTTTGGCTGCAAAATGGAGTGATCCCGATGTCTGAGATTTGTAGCGGCGCGCGCTTTGGAAGACAAGCTGATCTACAGCCAACCGGTCACTGGTCGCCCCACCTCCAGCAGGATGGCCTTATCAATTTCACCTTGGAGATCCAAAGCAATTTCAAGCCTGTTGGTGACTGTTCCTTGCCAAACAGAATTGGTGGCCACAATCAAAAGGATCTTTTCAATCCTTTTCAGCAAAGTAAAATATGACAATGTTCATTGGCTTTACTTGAGTGCTTTTCAAGTAAAGTCATATATTAATTTCAGCTGATGCTGCACCACAGTACCGATGTCTGCGTCTCGTCTGAGGCCATGGCCCTTGGCCTCGAACTTCTGGCGCTGCTCGTGGCACCCGATGCCACCAGTGCACGCGAAGGCGGAGATGTAGTCCGGAGCAACACCCTCGAAGCGCACAAAGATCCAAGATCGGCAGGCGAGATCTTGGCTAATTTGCTTAAAGCCTAAAATTTAAAGTATCTCAGTATCTCTGTAGTTGTCATGCTCCACAAAAGTCGGTCTCAAGACACGCCATAGATGGACGCATCATAAAGCATGCCTCACATAATTATACAATGAAGATTGAAAAAATGGAGGTCCACCATGTTTGTAGTTCAACCATGTTCAACCTCTTCAAAAACTGCTCAGCCCAATGCAATCCCCTCGTTTTGATGCCCAGAAGGGGCTCGAAAAGGGCGGCTCGTCTGCATAGCCTTGGGAGCGATGAAGTCACCCTGGCACCAGTAGGTCGACTCGCCCATGTCCTGACGGAGCATTCTCATCCGCACCAGGCTCTGGGGGGAAAAAAACGGAACAGGCACCTGGTGCGAATGGGTTACCTTGGCCAAACAGCTTCACCTACAGCTTCATAGGGATCTCAGTCTCCCTGGAAAGAAAGCAAGCTCTCACCTCACTAAGTCCATCTTAGTCCTAGAGTTCTATAAAAGAACAGTTCTGTCATGCCCACAAGATAACATGTCTGGCCTTTGATTCTTCCACCAGCCTAAAGAATCAAAACCTGCGAACTCTGTGCGTGCCAAGTCTCAAGTTGCTGACGAAGACCGTAGAACTTGCACTTGACGGTGTCACGCTTCTCGCTGGTGTAGACCTCCAGGAATTAGGTTTCTGTTTGGATGTCTATTTCAGGACAGGACAGTGGAGGCCATCGCTATTAGGGCGGATTACTATTTCTGGATTGTGAACTTTGTTGTTTCGGTTCTTTGCGCTTTGTGCGCCTTGCTTTGGGAACGGTGGCTGCTCTGATTTCTCTTAACAGGCATAGACCGGACCGGACCTTGTTTCGAGAGGGCAGTACTCACTCCCTCCCATGCGCTCGAAAGCCGCCTCACAATTTGCCTCTCAGCTGTTTAGACGAGGGATTTTATATGATTTTATCTTCTGTTCTGTCGCAATTGCCCGCCCAGCCTCAATGTCATCACCCACGCTGTTGGCCGGATGAATGCCAACAACACCTGGCAAGGTCGATGTTTTGCTCAACGTAGGTCAAGCAGCCCCCCTAGAGATCATGTTGTCGGCCGACAAACACCAGTCTATAGTTAGTTGTGAGATTTCTCATCACTCATCAATGACCTGGGTCTGTTCCCCCCAAGACCATCCCAGTCTCATTATGTTGTCTCTTATCATCGACCAGAACGCATTCAAAGACTAGCCGAGGGTTCAGCCGTGCTTCTTTCGGATGAAACCAAGGAGAAACAAACGAAGTTGCTGCTGCGGCCTGAGCACTTCAAATGCCCCTCCTTCACGATCCAGGCCTCAGAATACTCTCATTGGCAGGATATCTGCTGCAGGACAAACAAATCAGTCAAGTCTTGTTAGAATCGAATCAATTAGGAATTACCACCAATGCCACAGAATAAAACAACGAGCGTAAGGGGAGAGCCTCCAATAACATGCATGTGTCTTCTACAATCTGCTTGTACCCCTTGGGCTGTCTGAGACTGTTGGTCTCACCACCTGTCAAAACCACCGGTCATCCGCCCCCGCTCACTCCGGTTTCCTGGCATGACTCGAACACGTCGAACCACATCCTGCGCCAAGAGGCCAACATCTCCTTGGCCTCTTCGAAGAGCTTCTTGGCTTCAGGTCCCACGCGGGCATCCTGTCTGCCGGTGTTCCAAGTCCAAACGACTTCCAAGTCTTGGACTGAGAACAACAAGGCCCTTGCAACTGATAAACCAACTTTGGAGCCCAAAGGCCCAAGGACTAACAAATGTCATCTATATATTGTCATCTTCATAGACATCAGTTGTCCACGCCTTTGATCTCAGCGGGTGCGCGCCTTGAAGATGTGGGGGTAGTCGCGGTTGGGGTACTTGCCGCGCAACTGGTACACCTGGTGTGTTCCGGTGATCAGTTCGCAACGGTGTGTTTGATCTGTCAAACAAAGGACCTCTCAAAGAGTGACATCTGCGAAACAGCTCACACGGGTGGTTTCGATCAGTAAAATAAATGGGTTTCTTATTGCTTCTTCACGCGTCCTCGTGCTTGTTATCCCATGCGATGTGAGACTGTCGATTCGAGTTCAAATCTTGGGGTGTACAATGTGTATAACCACCAGGCAAAAACAATTGGCACCTTTCATCATTCTTCCTAGCAGAAAACCTCCGCGCACATCGCGTGATCGTCCTGGAAGAATGGCGTCCAGTCAATGTACTCCATGACTTCTTCGATGGGGTGATCCTCCAACAGCTCAACTCCAACGCTTTCACGATTGGAAGGTTTGGCTTGGGTAAGGTAAGGTCGAACCTTTTTTGCATGGACAGTCGTGCTGTGAATGTGTTTCACTTCCCAAGATTTGGTGCCCGAATTCAATCATCCTCGAACATCCTCAATGAACTCCGGTAATTTATAGATTGAACTCAACATACCCTCTCTGGTGTCCACTAAAGTGAAGGCTTCTTTAGTATGCAGGAATCTCGTCACCTAAAGTGACCTATATAGTCCGTTCTGGTGTTCAAGCTGACTTGAATGTTCGAGGCGAATGAAATCTGCTGTCCTTGATGCAAAGGTTGCCAACGAACTTCCTGGAGCAGCTCAATTGATGCTGTCTAGTCCAACTGTTCATTCTGCCTTCAGGCCTCTTACGACCTGCTAACCCTCAACCATCCAAAAGGGCAAACAGATTCAGCACTGGCAAAGGTAAGAGTCCAAAACTGCAATGCGGACAAGCCGCGCAACTAAGCAAGCACGTTTAACACACAGAGTAAGTCATAGTAAGTCTGTGAAAACCCTGGTAGAAACATGTCGAAATAACATGAAATAACAGTCACCTTCCCCAGCTCTACTGGACCTGTGGGGAGGAATTGCCTTTCATCACCAACAGTGCCAAGGCGCGGGGCAGGCGGCAGCTTGCTCCAATCCAAGGAGGGCTTCTTGGACTGCGCCTGTGCCACTCTGAGCGACAGCTGGAAACCGTCACATGCTATCATAGTGATAGTGAAAAGAGTATGGTGACCCAACTAGGTGGAGGCCATCGCTACTAGTAACAAGAAGCAACTAGGGGCTCCTGGCCTTACTACTAGGAGCAAGAAGCTACTAGTAACAAGAAGCTAGGGTGGAGGCCATCGCTCTTAGGGTGGAGGCCATCGCTCTTAGGGTGGAGGCCATCGCTACTACAAGGTGTATTGGAAGTCCTTTCCATCTATGTGGGGAAATCATTGTGTCACATTAGATAATATAGATTATAAATCAAAAAAAATATCACGAATCAGGAGCATTTGTTTATTTCTATGTTTCATCTGTATGTCTTTCAGAGACCCATCAATCAGTGCAGTTGCTTCGGGCTGTGAACCCATCAAACGCAGGAATCTACCGGTCGGCTTTACAACTGCACCAACAGCCTGCTCGATGGTCTTCCACTTCTTGTCGATGAGAGTTGTGTAGTACTCCTCCCTGATCTCAGTGTACTCCTTTCCATTCAGCTGCTGACTGAGGGCCTCCAAAACCTTTAGCCGCTTTGGCCCCACTTCAAAGCCACGGCAGGGGCATTGATTGAAGTTTTCTCACACCACTCCATGTCAACACACTCCAGCTCTTGCAATCATCAGCACCAACAAAGACTGCCACAGCACAGGCGTCCTCTGCAATCTCACTCAGGTAGCTTGCCTTGTCACTTGACCTTAGCAACGTGAGACCATCAGTTCATGGTCACAGGTCAGAACATGCTTAAAACCGTAAACCTGTTGCCTGTTCCGTTCATTTTCGCTCTACATCCAGGTTTCCCAGCACATCATTTCCTTAATCGAGGCGTCCTTTGTCCCCAACCGGGCGACCGGACAACAAAGCGCTCACAACGGTGCAGCTGCGGCTGGCGTCCAGCACCTCATTGGTGCTCCAGTGTTCAACATTGTATACCTGATCTTGGGGGACAGGTACTGGTGGAAGTATTTCTCTCCTCAGGCAAATTGGGAGAGTTGGTAATGCGATTTAATTAGCAAACAAATTGGAAGCCCCAGAAATAGACTGGGCCCTGCAAAGAGCGTTTCCCTGCAAGCACGTGTTCAGAACCAGCCACCAAAACCTATCGGCTTACTTGCCTTGCCTAGAAAAAAGGTGTAATTTCGGCATCCACACAGAATTTGACAGCGGACCTGTTGGCGATTCTGACATCTCATTCTATCTCCGAGTGTAGTACATGGATGACACCAGCATCGTACTTGGTGGCAAGCTTCACAGCCTTGGGAAGTACGGGCCATGTTTCCATTTCTCCAAGCTAGGTTCAAAAACTAAGGACTTCTACAAGTCTTTGATAAACGATGGAGAAACAACTGCAACTGCGAACAGCAGAGCTGAATTGTTTCACATGATTCAAGATTCGCAGTGGTCGCTGCATGTTGCTCAGAATACTTCAAGACCAGGTGAACATTGAGAAAGAACCAACAATCAACCTTGTTGGGGACGCAGGCCACTCCACTCCGTTCCCAGTGACAATATCTGTCTATCTCCCACTTAAAGCATGGTTGGCTTGTGGGACTTGGAAGCTCTGGGTCTGCCTCTTTCCACGCCTTTCAGCTTGACAAACACATGCTGTTTAAACTTAAATATCATTGAATCACCTTTGAAACATGGCTCACACCCTAACAAGGGAAAAAAAGGAACACTCGTCTTCTATAATTGACGAAGAAGCAAAAAATACTGGATCCGAATCGATGGGACCCCAACAGATCCTTCAAAAGGTCCATTTGTCTAGGCTCTCCAACAGTGTGCCTCTTCGAGGTCGTTGCACCGCCGATCATCAGCGGAAGCTGAGCGGGTTGAGAACCGTGTGGGCTCAGCGGGCTGAGTGGGTTGCGCTAGGGACGAAGGTGGACAATCCTTGGACGATCCATTCCGGTGGCTTAGATCTGGGAGTGACGATGTTGGTGAGTCAGTGAGCTGTGCAACTCCCCGCGCTGCAAGGGAGTAATGAAATTAAATGTATCTACATGTGTGCTAACCAGTATCATTGTGCTACTAGGAGCAAGGACGCTACTAGGGGCTCCTGGCATCGCTACTAGGAACAAGGACGCTACTAGGGGCTGCTGGCATCGCTACTAGGAGCATGGACGCTACTAGGGGCTCCCTCTGGACGCTCACACCAGTGCCTTCATGTTCCGAGCTTTCATCTGTTCCTGCGCACGTGCTGGCAAGTGGCCAAAACACCAAGGAGGAAGCGGTCTGGAGGTTGCCAGCTTTGCCAGCCAGTCTCTTTGGAATCTCTGTCAGTCTTTGAGAGTCTTTCTAACTAAGACCAGGATATCGGCACAAAAAAAGAGGAAGGGACGACTCTACTCACGCAATGTGGAGCTCCACCAAAAAGCTGGATCATAGAACCAGGTGGTCAATGGGCATCCGGGCAGCCACGTATTGCATCTCATCCAAGGAAGGAGTGATCAACCTCGGTAGACAGCTAAGCGTGGCCAGAATCAGATTGACTAGCTCAAGCCTGTTGAACATCCTCTACAAAAAAAACAACAACATTCATTGACTGGCTCAAATTTTGCAAAAAGAAGACAGCCCAACAAAGTTCCGCGGTCATACTCACCCCTGCTGGCTGCTTCATTCATTGCCTAGAACATCCTAGAACCTGATTGCGGCTTTCTTGATAGGAAAAGGCTGTGTGTTGAACGGGGGCCAGGGGTGACATTGGAATGCATTTTGCAACTAGTCTTATGCTGGAGCCTTTTGCACTACAACATGACAGCTCCAGGTGAAGGACAAAAACAAACAGGCTTCTCGACAAAATGGTTTTCACTTCAAGACGCTTGAGCCTGTTTATATAGTATGTATGTTCCTGAAATGACGTCTTGTTGTCAACGTGCTTCTCTATAAAATATTTCTAGGGGTGGTTGTGCTGTCCATTTCTAGGTATTAAATTGACACATGTTGTTGTCTACAACATGAGCAAATGGTAAACAATCGCTTGTGCGAGGTTCACGGTCACCCATTTTGAGTTTCACGGGCTGCGGCTGTGGTATGCTGTGCTCCAAAACAAGTCTATCGCGGACTTTGTCAAACTGCATCCACACCGACCACCCACCTATCTTTAGAACGCTACTAGGGGCTCCTCACATCGCTACTAGGCTCCTGGCCTTACTACTAGGAGCAAGAAGCTTTTAAAAGGGATGCAAACAGGTGCAGAGACTCCCGGGACCTGTCCCGACGTCCCCTACCCAGTGCCCAACCTTTCTTTCCAAGGTGCCCCGAGAGGCCGATGACATCCGCCTTCTCCTGTGGTGGAGCTCTGGTGGAGCACGGTGGATCCACGGATCCCAAAAGGGATTGCTGAGGGAGGAGCTTTTCTCTAAAGCCCTTCACACCGCTGCACTTAAAGAAGGACAATTGCATATCATACATCATGTATGTGTTGATGATGGTGTTGTCTACTCACCGAAGAAGGGTGTCGGGCTATGGTCAGACTTTGCACCTACTACCAGTAGCAAGTGGTGCACAGTGATGCTAGTGGCCTTGCCCCAAAGAGCTTGAAGGACCCTACTACCTACTAGGGCGAGAGAGAGAGAGAGAGCATTTCCAAGGGCCACTTCTGATTTTCCAGGACCGGATCTCAACCTATATAATCCTATATATATATACAGTATATCAGATCCATACTTGAGACACACACACCTCCACTCACTCAGAAATATAGAAACCTACTGAAGATACTATCTGATGGCAAGGATGCTTGAGTGTTCCACTTTGGTCACTGATGAAACAACTTATGTACATAAAGCACTGTATATCAAAATGTTCAAACATGGGCCGCAGCGCGTTTCTCCTGAATGGCTTTGTCCAAGATGTTGTCGCAGGGCACCATGACGCCCATGTCAACCACCTGGTGGGTGGATGAAAGTAGGTGTGAAGACAACTGGTGTGCTCGAGAAGCTGATGTGCATGAAGAATCATATCATCTGTAGTGGCCGCATATCAGACTTAAATTCAAGAATTGGCACAGGTGTCATGTGTTATCATTTAATATGGTATTATATTTGTTTGCTACTGCCAGTGTATCTTCGCAAGAGTCTCGTCGAGACTCCTGCTACTCCCTATCGTCCCACCAACCTAGAAGCGATGGCCTCCGACCTATTTCATTCTTGGCCACCCCTACCTTGTAGTTATTGCAGCCCAGCACCACGCCGACAATGTTCTTTCCGATGTCATGCACATCGCCCTTCACCGTGGCCTCTGCTTCGCCGGGAGCGGGTCGAGTGGCTGGCTGTCGCAATTGATTCTTTTTACTTGTTGAATCTTCGATCAAGCCGGAAAACAGTACCTCCACCACACGTGACATGCTTGGGAGCAAATCACTCTTGTGACATCTACCTCCACCTCTTTTATGGTGTGGTTTCTAAAGGTTCTCAGGAGACTCTGTCGGACGACATTTCTCCAAGAGCTCAGACGATTGCGATGAAAAATTCAGTTTGAGCGCCCCGAATCTTTTGAGCACCCCGAATCAGGTGCTCCCATGATGATACTACCATCTAACTTAGAATCATCTAAGTGTTCGGGATCCACTGTACTTCATGTTGATTCAATACTTGGCTGTGTCCAAGATTTTAGGGTTCACGGGACCAAGATGGAACAGGTGGCAGGACGCAGGTAGATCATGTCGATCACCCATTCAACCCGGTGAGATGACTGGGCGCTCAGTCCATAAGCACTGTTCCGTTGTACTTGGGCTGATTGGGATCTTCACCAGCTGCGAGGGCCTCAAAGACTGTGCATTGATTCATCCTGCGGGTTATGCCTAAGTCTTGAAGTGTGCAGTACCTAGCCTAAAGCAAGCTAGTTTTGAAAGTTTGAAACAAACTGTTGGACGAATTATGACCAATTCTCATAGTTTCCACGGTGGTCATGTCCAACTTGCTGCAAGCACTACAGAAAAAAACACCTGACAAGTGTCCTTTGGACCCGTACGGCAGCCCGGCGCTCTTCCTCCATAAAGGGAGTGAGGTAGGCCACAGCCTCGCATCAGTCCATCGAGCAGATCGATGCGCACTCTGAGGCAACAGGGCGCTCTGAGGAGGTCCACCGCTACCTGCACGTTTTGTGCGTGTTTTACTGTAGCATGTGACATAGTGTCTCAATATAGAGCTAATGGTGAAAGAGTCTACGCTCTGTTTTCTCACCGATATCCCCACCGCATCCCTGTCTCCCCAACATCGTCTGACGGCTGCGGTCTGCTGCCTTCTTCATGACACGGGCGCTCTTAATAACCTGAAATGTCATGACTGAACATCCATCAGTATCCAAAGCTCAGTGAGCTTTTGAGAGGACATTGGGTCATCCATTCTGGTCAACCAATCTGCCTTCCCGAGGGCCTGCTTCGATCATCTTCAAACTTCGTAGCTTTTGATGGACGCACTGGCATGCACATTCTAGTGACTCTAGTGGCTAGTAGCTGCGCGACCCGCCTGTGGCAAGAACATCTTTCCGGATCCAAAAAGATCGCCGATGATACCCATGCCTGAAACCAAGGAGTGGTCTGGCATGGTGAACAAATCCAGGACTGAAAGCAATGCAAGCGACTGTGCCTCAAAATGCCGCGGTCAAAACCTCAACTCGGCCCTCTGGCTTCGTCCCCCACTCAACAAGCTCATCAAGCCTACGAATCCTCAGGGAGTAGAGCCCCAAGGTGCTATCCAACCCTTGGCACCGCCCCTACGGTGCCTTGCATGAGTGGCCCCTCGATGACATGCAAAGGCACCCGCAGCTCCTTCCGCGCCTGGCGAGATGGCTTTTGCTTCAATGGACTCTCATAATTAGGCTCATTTTCATGTGGAGCTTCATTGGCCATAGCACCACTGCATTGGATTCGAAGATGTCCTTCTAATAATCTGTCACAGTATCATATGTACGAGTATCTATATTATACCGATAAGATATGTCTATAGTATGCTGAGAAGAAGGAAGGAGGAAATCACCGGATTATCGGGCTTAAACGTGACGCAAAAGGGTGAGCAGTTGCGATCATCGTCAAGTTGCATGGTCTGAGGATGGCCCAGGTCACCAGCCAAGTGCCTCTTCAGTGTCGCCCTCGATGAACTTGTCGATGCCATTGATGAGCCTGGTCTTGCACACTTGCTCTCGTCCCAAGCATCGGCATTGCGCCAAACCACATGATCACAGGACCCGTGTCACGGGATTGAAAGGCTGGGAGACCAGCCGAGAATGAACAAGCAAGGATAATCCTAGGAGGTTGGTTCTTGAGACCTATTGTTGTTCTTCTTGTTGAGCTTCGATGGAGAAGCTCCAATAGGCTTTGACTCCATCAGCAGTCAGACTCAACCGGTTCGGCTGAAATGTGAAACGCTGTGCCGCCCTGCCCGTAGTGCAAACGCTCGGTGTAGGTGCCGCTGCGCCAGGCATCCTGATGTGGAAAGGAGGACAGGCAAATGGAGCTTGTGGCAATCGGATTCTCCATGCTTATATAATCGGTACGAACTTAGTGTATATATACAATAAGTGTATAATACACTATATACTAAGCTCGAATACACTATATACTAAGTTTGTGCAATACTAAGTATATTATTCCATACTTATATATATATGTATATATAGAGAGAGAGATCATTGAAAGTCTGCAATGTTTCGTTGTACCTTCCCCTGATCTCAAGAGATCGAACTCTGCAAAAACGGGGGACAAGCGTGCTTAGATGTGCAGTGCCTCAGTGCGACCCTTCGCCCATTCGCCAAGAATCCCAAAGGAACTTGGACATATTTGGATCCTTTGCTCCTAGTAGCGTCCTTGCTCCTAGTAGTAAGGCCAATGAATCATCTAAGATCCATTCGACAAAAATCAATGATGATCAATGATTCGATTTTAAGCAACTTCCAGGTGCGCAGCTTGACAGCCCCACGCGGTGTTTTTGCTCACCACCACTGTGCGTGCTATTTGTCAGCACTGGGCACCATCACGCTATTCAGCTGTTGCTGTCGGAGATTTGTAAAATGAAGAACATGGATTTGAGGTGGGATCTGGGATATTTTTTGTTTGACTTGTTGACAAGCTCAAAAGAGCATCCATGAATCATGCTCCATCAATTCTTACAAAAGAGCCTAGGGTGCACTTCCTACCAAAGGTGGACAATGACTAGAAGTGGCTAACATTTGGAGTATTATGCACCACTGCGCCCCAAATGCGCTCCACTGCGCCCCCGTGCTGGCACCTTCGCCTTCTCAGCACCTCCTCCGCCAGCACCAGCGGAAGCTGCAGGCTTTCGCACAGCCTGCCAACCGACTGGCTGAATCCGAGATACACCGAGATACACCCGACAAATCCCAGAAATCGTGCTCGGCCTCAGCGTACTCCAGGAAGCGCTCCACCTGAAAAGGGTCCGATGAATGACCCAGGAAGAAAGAGCTCAAAGGACAAGTTGCTAGGTTTGGAGATGCAAGTGTCTACTGTCTAGATCTTAATTGGATGAAAAAAAAGCATTGACCAAAGCAGGTACTGCAAGTACACCTGCAAAAGCAGGTTTCTTGTCAATGCTGAAAATGTGCGTACAAACTGACCGTTGCCTTCAACAAAGCCACTAAACATCACTAAACCCTGCCATCTTGATGTGGTAATGTGCTGTCAGTGGCTGACTGAATCACCCCTCCCTGAGCTGCTGCACGTGCTTGCCATCTGCAGACTTGTTGAGGATCACCTGGTGGCATTATTCTCCAATCACAAAACTGCCAGATCGAGGAAACGCAGTAAATCGCGGACATACAAATCATAAAACAAAAAAAACGAACCGAACCGAACCGCAGGGTCGCCAAACCGACACCGAACCGGAACCGCTCGAACCGCGTGCTGCACAAATCTGCACAAACCGAAACGAACCGCTTCTCGCGAGGCCTCCTCGCACAGCTTGCGGCTGTGGGCATCGATGTCCTCATAGCGAGGCAAACCTGGCAGAGTCGGCCGGCAGTGGCAGAGATGGCAAGAGACCAATGGCTCTGGTGAGCCCGATGGCTCTGGTGCCATCCCATACTCGCCCTTGTAACCTGCTCCTGAGATCTCCTGAGTCTAACGATTTGAGCCAGCCCCCAGTCTGCTTTGGGTCAACACTCAGGCACCCTGGTTGACCCACAAACGAGACGTCGTTAGGCGTACTGTACCCTGAAAGACCTTCAGCAAAACTGGCAGCGTGCTGAGCTGTGAATTATGGACGATGAGTGTGGCCATTGTCCTGCAATGTCTGTTTATTGTGGTGTACTAATCCATATCAACCCGTGAACAAATCATGACAAATCGTCATCCCCACCTCCTGGGTTCACGATGGACATGTTCAAGCCCTTGGGGATGGCATGGTACCTGGATGCATCAGGGAAAGCTCAAACTTCTGTCTGGGCTTCCAAGAACAAGTCCCCTACAAAAGCTGAGACAGACCGGAGTTTTAAATAGAAACGGAAAACGCAACCAAATGCCGATGGCACAGGAAGACGCTGTGCATGGCGTCTCGCAAGGAGTTGAGACCACGGAAGGAGAAGGACAAATTGCTCAAGCCACCAGAGA